CCGCTGAATGTCAGACTGCTTATTAATTATCGAGCTTTACCTCGCGTTTAACGAACCACACGCTGTCATCAAATTGTCAAATTCCATCCATTACTAGTTAATTATTAAATACAAATTGAATTTGTAAAACTTTCCCAGAGTGTTTTCGTTTATTAATGAAATTCGTATCGTTGGTAAATAGCGACGACAGGTTGTAAGATCGATTAAATAGTTTCGGGGTGGGGGAAAAAAGTAAAGTCGGGCAAACAGGGAGTAAAATATGAGTGAGCGCGCGGAAAGCATCGAACGGGTGTTTTGCTTGAAAAGAAAAGCAACCCCTGAGGTATGCTAAGTCAGGGTCGAAGAAAAACACTGGAAGGCTTCGCAATTACGGTCGACTTTTATCTGGCCTGTAATGAAAACGGCAAAAACTCTGGAATGAACGATGATGGGATCTTAACTCGTCTTGGAAAGAAAATTTCTCGGAAAAATGTCCGCCCTGTTTGAATCTATAATGAGAGGAATAGGATATAATGTGACGGAGGAAGAGGTGATAAAATCGAAACCTGTCGTGTGCTTAAACCTCTGAAAGAAAATATTTCAAGCTTCCGTGTGCACGAGTAGGTATCTCGGTATATTCGAAAAACAGAAAGAAATCGTAATTTCAAATAACGAAAGATTTATGATTGCATTTTTCCAAATCACTGGGTTTCACGCGCAATTCCTCTGACAAGAAAATCCAACCAGATTCCGCTACTGTTTTAACGAGTTTCTAACGTAACTTGGTAAAATAGTAACCCGTGAACAGAAGTAATTGCAAAACTAATGAATTATGCAAAAGCCACAGTGTTGCGGTAAATAAACCTTTGTCGATAAATATTCGAGGTGGAGGAAAATATTATTCTATAATTTTTATACGATAGAACTTTGAACTTTGTTGGCAATTTGATAGATAAATAAAAATTTTTGGAAGATACGGAAGAATTTTCTTCCTCGAAGAAAAGACAAATCTGTTGATCTAGCGAATAATTAGATGAATCTAGCGATCCTTTCAACCTGTACACCGAGAAAAGTGGTGAAAAATAGGATAAAAAGACAGAGAGGTGGCGTAGACGCGTCTTAGGTGGTCGTAACGAGGACGCTTTCATAACGCTGAAAAATATTGTACGTCTTCGAGGACGCGGGAAGACACTCGAACGTCTTAAAACGCCCTCGAGATACATTTCCCGGAAGCTGGGACTACAAGAAAGAAGCGGAACGGCGATAAGTGCAGCGCGACGAGCATGTTTATCGCAACGACCGCGCCGTAATTATGTTCGCACGAGCGTCCTTAATGAAACTCGAGGAATCTGAGAAATAGGAAGCCTCCTCGAGTCCAGCTCGAAAGGATTACAGAAAGATTTGTGTAGAGCACGTTTCAAGGATCCTACTTAATTTAGAGAGATGATAACCCTTTTGAAATTTTAACCCTTTTTTAATTCAATGCCATTATTCGATTCGAGTACCATTTTCGTTGAAATTTTGAAAATGAGAAAAGTTTGATAAATCGAAATTTTCTAAGGCACGACAGTTAAAGGTCAACCCGATAAAGTTGAAGAATCCTGAAGACGGCCATCGTCGTCCATCTGCTACAGAAAGGGCTGTTGAATATTTGAAAAACTCTGGAGGGATGGCTCTATCTGTCGCTAGGTTTCGTAACAAACGAGATCCAGGCACAAGGGGGACGTAAAATGTTGGACGAATTCAGCAGGTGCATAACTAAAAGCCCTTTCATAGCAGAACTTTCGCGTCATAATCTTCGAGATTCATGCCCTGAATCTCGAAACATTGTAAAGTAACAAGATCTACAACAGCCAGGACATTGATTTATCCGGATACCTTTGTTTCGTGTACGCTGCAGGTGGTAACTTTTCTACGAAAATATCGCACTTGCCGGAAGCTTGAATTTTGAACCTTGCTCGTAGCGTTATTTTTCGGAAACACAGCAATTGAAATTCTTTATTTTTTTTTTTTTTTTTTTTGAAGAACCTAATAAATCTAGGCGCGACAATGGAATTTGTGGTTCGATTAAATTTCGCAACGATTGCTACTGTTAATTGGTCGATTTCCAACAATAATTCGAAGTTTCGGTCCCGGCAATTGGGCCTAACTTTTCCAAACTAACATCCTCTCTAACTAATCCCTGATTTCTAACTTCCTAACTTACTTGAACAGTTTTTGCTCGTGCTCGTGCGCGTCCACGAAGAAACGTAGGCCACGATTTAAGCTCGATCGATTGACGCGATAGAAACTCCGTCGACTATAAAAGACTTATCGCGAAAATCCTGTTACCCGCCAATACTTTGACCGAGAATATATTTTCCCCCGGGCTTATGTAAAATTTTTGAAATATAGCTTCAGCCTAACCGAAGGTTCTTGAACTCTTAAACGTTTTTTTAAATTTCTTCCCTTTCGCCCTTTCTTCGAGAACGATCAAAACTTTCCTGTTAGGAAAGTTTACAGGTTCTACAAGTAAAAATAAGAAGAAAGCGGTTTGTGTAAACGTAAGCGTGGAAACTTTGCATTAAAAGGGCTCCAAGGAAAATATTGGGATGCAAAAGCTTAATGCAACTTGATATCATGTTTCACGGCACAGAATGCAAGGAAGCGTTAAAGGTATCTTTGTTTCGAAACTGAGACGTCAAGTTTATACAGAAATGTAGAACTTTGCTGAAATAAAAGGAGGAGCGTTCGCACGCGAACGTAATTTTTGTTCAGAGGGTTCTACCTTCAACATTATTTTCCGACTAAAATTCTGTGACACGTGTACGGTATGTAAATTTACCCGCATAAAATATGTGATATTTGTTTAGCATAGCGTTAGGGCTGAGCGCGGAGTGGAGGGTTGCAAATCGAGTCACGTTTCTCGTGTACGAAATAAAAACGTTAGGCTTATGTATCGCCACCTGGTCGAGCATGGGGTACAAAAAAAAATAGGATCATTTCGTCATGGATTTAAAGTAGATTTCTCTCTTAGCAGTTGGAAGTAGCGGTCATATTTTACAAGTTGCACACAATTACTAGCCACTTCAAGGGTTCTCGGAAAATTTGTTTCCATATTCTAAAGAAGGAATCTCTTTTTTTGTCGGACAAACGTAAATCGGATTCGTTGAATTCTCAAAGGTTTCCCGCCAACTACGATTAATCGAAGAGGGTTATTCTGGGAGTCGCACAGGTCTTCTTCGCACCCCTTCGAGTACGCTTTCCGCACGAGGGACGATACTGTGCGAAGGGTAGAAACGCCTTAACTGCATTCTTCGAGCAGCGAACTACATTATTTGAAACAGAAACGCGTACAAGGGGTGTTGTCATGGCGACAGGCCGCGTTTTAGGATCACAGCCACCAAAACTACGGTCACCTTGCTAAACAACCTTCCGGGAACAAAGGAACAATCGTGGAAACGATGGAAAATTTCGCTGCAAAATTTTGAGGAAATTCGAGGGAAATCAATGACGGAAAACTTGAAGAGGATTTAAAATTCAATGAAGGAAAGAAAGTGTTGGAGCCCGGGGGTTGACAAATAGAGATCGACATTGTCGTTTCCGCAAAACTCGATGCTTCTCGCGCAAGAAACTCCGTTCGACGAACGTCTCGAGCAATGGTGCGAAAACCTCCGTCCCAGTTGTATTCCAATCAATTAATCTATATTTGGTAGACCACTTAGTTTCCCGTCTGCTGCAATTCTATTGTTCCCTATCGAAACCTGAACGATAATAATTTTAGGAAGAAGCTGTCAATTAGAGAAATTAATGAATTTACCTTGTTCATTCTGACGAATTATTAAAATGTTAACGTTATTATAAATTCCATTATTCATTTATTATTTTACGGGAAAATCTTCATTGAAATTATCCGAATTTCAATTTTCAACGATAGCCACATTGTTATCTCTATTCGATTATTTATTCGTCCGATTATGTTCGACGACCGATTATATAATTTTCAATCGGATAAACAAAATTTATACACACCGAAATATAATTTATCGCGCGAAAAGGTTTGCCTGCTAATTTTCCATAGTCGGAATTTAATCGCGATGAAGATTAGCAAATTCTAATGGTACAGTTATCGAAACGATCTCGTTTCTTTTTTTTTTTCGTGACTCGAGAGTATGGTTAAATTGGACGTTTATAGAGCGATGGGTCGATAAGAACCTCGCTGTGTTCAATTTCCTTTGTTCCGAAGTTTCGTACAACTCTAACCGTCCTGTTTTATGCAACCCTTATTCTTTCGACACAGAAATAACGGGGTTACTCGTTCGAACCCGACCTTAAAAATTGGTCACGCTTTTCTTTCGTATGCTGCCAGCAAATCTGACAAATTAGGGATATTGTTCCATGTTAAACATCTACGATTTCATAGTCGAAAGGGTACGAGGCAGTTGCATGAATTTTGCAAAGAGAAACAGAATAAAAAAGGGAAGGTAGATGGAGAGAGGAAAGCAAACAGAAAGAGTGGAAATTCTGTACAGAATTCACGATTGGAATCAGTTTTATCACAAAGGTCCTACTCGCTGTACAATCAACACGTTCCGGTGGCGTTGTTTCATTTTCTTTCTCGAATATTTGCCACTGCGGGATCCGCTCTCCTTTTTTTTACTCCGGGAATAAAACGTGTACTGCTGCAAGCACTGTAGTTCATTTTTTTTTTTTTTTTGTTCTAACAGCAAAATAAATCTCAGTTGTACGGGATACAGAATCTATTCGTGCAAAACTGATTATTCATGCGATCGTGTGTTCGTATAAATTGGAAATTTTCTGGAACGCGATAAAGTATATTGTTTATAAAGGCAAACGTCCAGCTTTCAGATCCTGTAATCCTGTCTGGGTTTGAGGAATTATTGACGCGATAAACGATCATTTATTAGACTATAATTCATGGTTTAATGAACCGTGGAATAAAGAATGGTTATCGTTCGAATGTGCAGAGGATCAATAAAAGACTGTTTCATTCCAACGCTTTTATTGATTAATTCGTTGAAACACATCGGATTGTTGTATTTTAATAGAAATTATAACTTACTTTAGAAATATCTCAATTTTAATCCATGCGGATGGAACCAGCTCGAGATAAAAATTTACAATATGTTTGAGCGGTCGAGAGGTCCTTAGAAAATATTCTCATTATTCTATAGTTCAACAATCATTTTGTGTGATCGTCAGTGCTACTAATTTAATGAGTGCTCGTATTATTCAAAATTATAATTAGGACACATTGTTGTAGGAATTCACTTTTTCGTATCAACTAACGTTAAAATTTGTACTGTTGCAAATAGTTTGGATCAAATGACACATAGTATGTTTCAATAAATAAGTAAAAAAAGAACGTTAGGAAAATATCAATTATAATAAAAAAAAAATTTTTTTTTAATTAATGTCAGTGAATGAAGTCCCTTGTATGGATTCGAATTACATTTAATGATCGCTTACAAGGTAATACTGTTTCCACGTAATCTTCATTCTTTATCTAAAATAAATCCGGTCTCTCTCAACCTAAATTCTGTTTATCGCGTAATTGTTAACAGTACTCGACGCGTGAGTTCGCAACACCTTTAGTTCTCTATTGGAAGTACTTTCCACCGTAACAGTGCAATAATAAAATATAAACAATCGTTGGATAAAACTTTTAGACCTCTCTCAATATCGTACAACAGCAACAACCACTTCAACTCGTTGAAACAACGTCTAGCGATCCAGCGTAGTCTGTATTGTTAAAAATGATCCTGAAACGATCAGGAAACATATTAGGCCAGTTTTCTAAAAGAGAGTATTATAAAAGAAGCTTCTTTTTTTTTCTCATTATTGTTAATATTATATTAATTGGTCGTTCGATCTCGTTCGTATGAAAAACTATCATAATATCTGGAATAAAAAAAATACTACGGTTTTGTAAAGGCATCCTAAACTTATCACACGCTTTTCAATCGCTCTTCTATCCTCGAAAAATCTTCTACTTTCCCATTGAAATTGTACTATCAACTGAATGATTCTCGTAAACGGAATTCGCGATAGAAAAATATAGAACCTCTTTCGTTTCTATTCGTAAATATAATAATCATCTGAAAAACTAGCACTGTTCACTATCGCAGTATATTATAAACTTTGTCTCCAGCTTCATCCCCCAAGGAGTTTCACGCAAGTATCAATGTGTCGATAAGGAAGTTGACTTTTCGATTCAAGTATCTGTCTTCTTCCCTTAAATTCGATTAAAAATATTACTCTTATTTTAATTACAATCTATGAGTAGCGATTAAGCAATCATCTCTTACCGAAAAGATATACTCGTCCCAATTGCGTGACGCTTGTATATATTTCCAGAAACCTATAGTAACTTTGTTTTTCGAAACTAATAAAAAATACAAAGGAGTGTTAGTCAATATTCTGAATGAATGCAAATAATTTAAATAAATAAATATCTCATATACAACTTATGTAAACATTTGCAGAATTATTGCAAAGAGGAGGTATATCTCTTGTTATACCTCCTCTTTGAGCGAGGTTTGTTATGGGGCGCTGTGAAAAATCCAGGCGGGCGTCAGTCAATACCTTATTGTTAGCGAAAAGGGACGATCTCAACATTCAGAATGAGAGAAGGACAGATCTTGCCTTTGTTGCCTTTTTCACTTGCCTTCGCTAACACAGTCGAGTGACACCTAGCTAACGCCTAATTTTGGCTACGATTCCAAATCGACAGGCTTCTTAGTTAGACGCGCCACCTTATAAACTAGCTGAACTGAATTTGTCAGGTGACTTTCTCTGTATTATCCACAAAATAGCGGAACTGGTCTGTGGGAATGCTTTTACGAGACTACGCTTTTCGTCGTTATTTCGCAACAAATGAAGACAAAATAGATCTTAATTTGCATCAACATAATCCCACTAAAATATGAGTGCAGCGGTGTGCATTGTACCTTCCTCTCTCGAATAAGCCCTCACCCAGCCCCAAATGTTCATAAGGATGAAAAGTGTAGTCCCGTAAACCCATGTTTAGGCCATTTTTGCCGGTACACAAAGTCAACGCGCAACTATTAACCGTGTCTACCCCCTTAAGAAGCTGTTGTTCTTGGTGATTAATCCTGCGCTGCTCTCGGACATCGGTATCACTGCTGATTTCTCTCCCTTAGGTAATTTTGGGTGCGATTTTATGTTCGGCTTTAGGCCCTTTAGGATATTCTGGAAAACAGTGTCATATTTTTATAGGTGCTATTCTAAGTGAATTATTATATTTCCTGAGACATTTGATAATTTTATTAAAAATATTTGAATATTAAAATCGAGGAGCTGAATAATATAATAAATTACCTCTTTAATTGATCCTGGAGTGACGAGGACGTAATAAATAGCATAGACAGGAATCCAAATCATCGATGACAAACTGAGACAAAATCCCAGGACTTCCGCCCACGTTGGATACTCGTAATCGCTTCCGTATTTCAATGGTTTATATTGAACGCATTGGAACACGAAAATAAACTGGAAAGGCAAGAAAAATTCAATACATTATCCGATAAAAAGTTAAAGCATCTCGAAGTTAAAATGCCAGTTAACTTTCTAAATTCTTTTGCCATTTGAGCGATCGACTTTGGTAATTAAACTTTTTCTTCCTTGATGATCGATTCCATTAGACCTCGCTTACCGTTCTTTTGAGCAAAACTGTAAAGAGTATCGATCATACCGTCGAGGAAACGTGTGATATCGAAGACAGAGACAGATTGGTACAATTACACCCGTCTCTCTCTCGCCCACGAGGAAAGTACGATCGTGTCAACATTGATTGATCGCGTTATACTTCGTATAAGGGAGTAAAAATATCATTTCTCCCATCAAACATTAATCTCTGTACCTAGATCGATAATTTGTTTGAACAGATCTGATCCGCGTTTTAAAATTCCAATTTTTCTTTCGTTATCGTGCATTTTAAACAAGAGAATTTCAGAAGATACGACTGATACTTACAGCCATGATCACAGGTGCAAACACCACCCAGCATATGTACCAAAATTTATTCAATCGTACACCCATCATTTGATGAATACAGTCGCAGAATTTGTTCGCCCCGAAGATCCAAGATATAGCGATCGTTTGGAAGAAACAAACCCACAGAATCGACATGCCACTCGCTGAATAAAAGTCCATCAATTGGAATATATAAACTCCTCCCTGCAATATAAATACAGAATTATATGAAAGTTCTAAAAATTTGAATAAACGAATCTTACGAAAATTTGACACTAACGTGGGTCACCATAGGAATTCCCAGAAGAAACATTAAAAGACAGATAGCAATGGTGAACTTCTTTCTGTGAGGACGAAGCAGATCTGGCCAGTTATCGACCATACCCGTGATAAAGGATTCGACTATGCAAAATTCGCTATCGATTCCGAGTATCTATAGAAAAAAAATCAGATTGATTATAAAATGAAATTAAAATATTTTTCTGTGATCGAGTTGAATCTCCCTTACGAGCAGCATCACGAAGAAGATTATAGCCCAGATCGGGGCGCCAGGTAGTTTGAGCACCACTTCCGGGTAGGTGAGAAACACCAGACCCGGTCCACTTTTCACCACTTCGGACACTTGAGTGTTTTGCTCCAAAGCGATGTGACCCAGTATGGAAAAGGTGACACAACCAGCCAGAAGACAAGTTAAGGTGTTCACTATGCAAGTGATTAGTGCATCTCTGGAAAATAAAAATTTAATTACCTATTTCTTTTAATCATCATAGGCGAGTGGTTGTTGCGGTGTTTTAAAATGAAAATTAGATCCTTACTTGTAGGAATTATGATGGAACTTGTTGTAAGATCCCAAAGCAGGCAGTGCCCCGGTGCCGATACTGTAAGCGAAGAAAATTTGTGTCGCACCATCGATCCATGGTCCTGGCGATAGCAGCTGGTCCCATCTGGGCGTGACGTAGTATAGTAAACCATCGTAGGCGCCGTCCAATGTCACCGCTCTTCCCAAAAGAATGAAAAGCACCACGTAGGGGAACAAGGCTGAAAACCAGATGATCTTACCGCTCTGATGAAGACCACGACGGATGATCGAGTAAACGAGCAGCCAACCGATGACCAGACAACCCAACAGCTCGTATTGTATTCCACCGATCGTTTCAATACCGGAAGTGATCCCAAGAACCCGTCGTCTAGAATCGTTTACGCGTTTAATAAGTTTCTCATTCGAATTGAAATGTTTCTCGCCGAGCCCACCACTTTTCAAAAGAGAAATTATTTATTTTCGAGATAAGTACCGAACGAAATGATCTTGGATTAGTTAAGATGTTATTATTTAAAAGTCACATTGGAGGCTCCGTCTGTTTAATTTAGACTATTTTCACTTACTCCCAATATTCCTCGACGGGTGTCGTATGATGCAAAGTAACATTGCTCGTTACATTAGTATTATTCGAATAAGAAACATTTCCTCCATGCTCGATTTTATCGGAACCAGCGTAGCAGTCTTCGGTGTTCCACCAGTTGCCTGTAAAATTAAAAGTATATCGTTGAATGATGAAACAATCAGAAATACGTGTAATTGTAATTGTTTCACTGACCACAACCGCTCCAAGGTACGCCAGGTATATTGGCGAATGTGCTAATGAGATAGAAAAGTGTCCAAGCGATAATTATGCAGTAATACACGTCGAGGAAGAATACGATAGTCATGGTAGCGTATCCGACACCTGGATGGAATAAAAATAACGAATTATTGTTCATTTTAATCTTCTCTGATTGAAGAAAGCAATACACAAGGTTTATAAATAAAATATGATTTTATAAAGCACCTTGTAACAAAGGGCACAGTTGACCCACGAGCGTCATCCCTCCAGCGCCAAGGTATTGCCCGATAGCGACTTCTTGGAAGAAAATTGGAATTCCACAGAAGAGCATAGCGATTCCATAAGTGATAAGAAACACACCTGCAATCGTTTCGAGGAACGAATTGATATGAATATCGATCGATCACGGACGATTAAATTTGAATACATAATACACCTATGTTCACGGTCGAAAATTAATTGTCCTTGCATATCGAACCAACAATGTGGCCCTCAATTTTATACCCTTCCATTATCACGAAACATTGATCAAACAATTGGAACAATCGTCGTAATTAAGGTGAAGGTTTTCCTATTGAATTAATTTTGCCTCTTTTTTTCCGCGTTGAAATCCAGAACCGGATACTCACCACCGCCGTTTTTGTAACACAAATACGGAAATCTCCAGACGTTGCCCAAACCGACGGACACGCTGATGCAAGAAAACAGGAAGTCGAGTTTGTTGTCCCATCCGCCTCGTTCCGTATCCTCTTCGCGATTCCCAACTTCCGTCGCTCTGCCTTGCGGCGAGGAGGCGGTCATCTTTGGAACGGAAGCAGAAGTATAATCCCGCTTCCTCTCGGCAGCGACCGGCTTTGCTTTGAACTCTATGAAAGCTTGATCCGGATCCACCTGGTCCTTCTCTTCTCCCCAATAGTACATCTTTTCCGCCATGTTTCCCTACAACCATTCGAGATCGGCTTGAATTTCCGTGTCGCTCTAACCGCTCGTGATCGATTATCTTAATTGAACTATGATTACATAAACGTCTCCTGCACGAACTGAAGGATCCTGCTGGAAAATAGCACGCGAAACATGACAGCATGAAAATAATCGGGGAGATAATTGAATAGAAAAGCTTGATCGTTTACGTGCAACTTGGACACTGATTACTGTCGACTAATTATTTTGCTTTCGTAGAATTTTTTCTGCCTAAGAATAAAATTCTAATTTCTTGTTTCATATGTTTCAATACGTAAAATATTGATCGCTCTCGTTGCATCAATAAAATAAAAACGACTGTATTTGCACATGGTTGCACCAGTTTCGTTTCACAATCCATTTGCAAAACAAACAAACAACATAACGTTATTGTTTCCTAGAAATTGAAATTAACAGGTACCGGTGCTGTTATCGTTTAACAGAGAATCTATGTTTATCGTCGCGTGAATGAAAAATGAAACATAGTGATTCGGTGTTTGCCATTAAAGTTTTCCAAGAATCATGAATTATAAAGACGTGACTTTGAATTAATAATGAGTTTGCCTCGGTAATTAGAATTTTCCTATCAGCTTAAGATATTCCATCGATCTTCGATAATTTCCTAATAAAAAAAGAATATTGAGAGAAATTCGTTTTCTTTGCAAATTGGAAGACCGCTTCATTCCCATCGAACTTAATTATTTAGCACTCGCCGAGCTTGATAATTAAAATGGAAGGACCGTGGCGGCAAATAATTGCGCTGCGTAATATATTTCGTTGACCTTTGTTAAAATTATTGAGAGCGCATTGCAGGTAAATATTAGATTTAATCATCATCGACCCGATTGCGTGCTATACACGATTGTAACAACCCGTTATGTTTACATAAAATTCTCAATTTAATTATCAATCAGAGTGCATATTTCAGATTGACCATTACAGAGTTCATCACAGGCAAATTAATAACGAAAAGGTGCTTTTATTATACAAATATTTGTTTCTACTACAATTTTAATGGGTGATTTTTGTCTCCATTTCTTCAAAAGCGACTCTCAATGAAGAACTACCCTTCCCCGCGACCCTTGTAATGTACGCGTCCCGCTGCCCTTATTATCGTTGAAAGCAATTCAGAAGCAAGCTTCGCGGAAGTGAGACAATCAGAAGGGGTTAGAACGAAGTGGAAAGAGGGAAATGGAGCACGTGTCGACTTGGTAGCGCACGTGTGTAAAATCGCTCACCTGCCTGTTTTTCATCAACTAATACACATGTCATTTCGGCACACGTGTGCACATACACGCGTACCTCTTGTAAACAGTGGTGCGCGCGCTACGGATGCTGAGCGTAAAATCAATATTAAACTTTGTGTTACGTTACGGCGTACACGTGGATTGCTTAATCGTTGCAATTTCTGCATAGAATTGCATTTTCTTAAATTTGCATCAACTTAAAAAAAATAAAAAAAGCGCACATCAAACTGTAAACTCTGCGAATTCCAATCAAGGTCCGCGCTAATTATCCGTTACAATATTAAATATAAACTGTGTGCCTTACCGAATGCAGCTAATTAAAATTACAAGATGTCTTCCGGATGTTCTTCTAGCAGTGCACGTGGTTGTTGCTCGAAACTTCCAGATTTCGCGTCTACATTATCCGAGAATCAAAACAATGCGTTCACGCCCGATTCTCGGCGTGACGAGACTCGCGCGATTTTAATTTATCAAGGATTGATCCTTGTTGCGGAATCGCCAAAGAAACGTTCTAATCGCACTTCCGGCTCGAAGGATTCTATGTTGCGCGTGAAATTTTTGATAAGCGTGTATCGCGTCGACCTACCTCACAAGGGATGTCGTTACAAAATAATGCTCCGCTGCAAGACAGGGAGTGTTAGCCATGCCGGACGCATGCGCTAATGGTAGCACCCCTTCCAGAGGGTGAAACCGAATTATTCCGGAGGTTGGAGGAGCCTCGAATCCTTTTGCTTTGGTAAATAATCAGGGACGGTGTGGGTGAATGATAAAATTCCGATGACGCGTGTTACCGTTCCTCTCATCGATCCTTTCTAATTGCAAACAGGGAAGTAAAGTGTCCAGGGGGTGTACGAGATTTCTTCTCTTCTCTATCGAAGTAGCAAAGACTTTCAAAGTATTTACTTACCGATACCTTTTTTCTTCTTTATACGATTTCATTGTTAGGTGGTGGAATTCGAAGGGAAATGATAAAAGCAATTTTTAAAAAAATACGAAAGAGTGTAATTGTTAGAGTAGAATACAATATTTAAGATACAGTACAATATAATAGCCTATCTATATTGTTCTACCTATATTTTTGAATCTTCGCTTTACCACAGACAGGAAAGCAAGATATCCTAGAAAACCTTGGGATTTAAACGTCCTGTTTGAAATACAAACTCAATTACCCGCGTTTAGTCTATAGTTTTGTATGTAATTACTGCAGGTTTCCTGTCCGTCTTAAATGAACATAGATTCTATTACGAAACATTACAGCCGGATGATTTTCGAACATTTTCATTTTTCCTTTTCGTGACTCTAATAATTCCTCGGGTTCTGAATCAATTTCTTTTCCAGCCACGCGTGCGCGAATTGAAAACACCGGTCACCGGATCGACGAATCTGTTAACTCGTGCACCGTTTCGCAGAAGTATCTTCGTTCGTCAAGGTTCCTCCTTAGCCTCTTTGAAATGCGTTCGAGCACGCGATATTGTCATAAACGTTCTCCGTTATCTGGACTATCCGTCATTAATCGCGAGGGTCGCGTGTTAAAATCGAACCTTTCCGACCGTTTCGCGCGAGCAACGGTGACTCAGAAAAACCGAGCAGAAGAAGTTCCCTTCGCGGTTGGTTCTTCCTCAGCAGCCGCTCGATTGGTCGCTCGAGTTGCTCGGTATCACCGTGTGACAGCCACGTTTGTATCGCAATTGTCTGATGGAGAGGTCATCCGAGTCCTGGATGTCGTTAACCACCGCCACCGTGTGCAACGACTTCATGGACACCTTCTTCTGAGGATCCTTGAAGCCGGAGAAACTCGGCTTCGGCATCCAATTGGTCCCATACGAAATTGGGTGCACCTGCGTTTGGGGCAGGTGATTCATCTCGCTGGACATTTCTGATCGACACTCGTCGCAGGTGGAACTAGCCTCGCTATCGTTCTGCGATGAACCGTTCTTCAACTTCGCAGATTCTTCTTGCAACCAATGCGATTGCGCTAGTATTCTGTATTCGTGTACAATTTGAAATTATTTCAATTCGAAGAATACGAAACGAAAGAGTCGATAGTAACCTTCTCAAGTAAGAATTTTCGTAACAGCTGATCAATACGATCGTGTCCTTTAATCCGATCATGGAATCGGATATCAAGTTCCACACTCGATTCGAATAATACGCGCAGCCTAAAGTGACGATCGCGATCAGCATGGAAATAATCCAGCTGATGAAACCTGCCGACATGACTGGGGGTTGTGACGGGGGTGGATAATACGAGGACCAGATTCGTTGCCACCATTGATAAGAAACGTCTCGATATTCGGATTCCTATGAAAATTTTTTCATTTTGAATTGAACGCGAAATAATGAATAACGTCGCAGCGTTATCACTCACGTAACTCCAGAACGCCCAAACGCTGCAATAAAGGAGCCTCTGAAGGATCAGCCAGAGCCACAGGACAGCGATCGCGACCACCCAGCTAACTAAAACCTTCACGGAACACGCGAGTTGTTAACGTGAAAATATCGCTTAACATCGAGGAACTTCGCTGGTCCTACTTGAAGAGTCTTGTAGAGGATCGTCGAGGTTATCGCTTGGGCCAGACTGTTGCAGGACGGTGGATTTCTCCATAGGAGTATCGCTACCGAGCTGAGTATCAAGAAGGACGGCAGGGTGTGGATGAAGTCGGGACCGACGGTGACTCTCGCATACTCGCGGAAGACTTTGTGCTGAAGAAAGAAGATCTCGTGTGGCACGCGCAACAGGGTGAGCGTCTGCGAATAGAGGCCGGTCAGACAGGACATCACTGTGGAGGCTGTGCACCAGCCTGATCCTTGGTAATTCGTTCACGACAACATCGAGCTTTTCCACAATGATGGTTAGATGGTTGAAGAAGAAACGTCTGATCGACCTGACGTTGCTGGCAAAATGAACCGCGCCATCAATTTTCCTTTGTTTATATCATTTTTTCAAAGAATTTCGAGAGGAGCTTTATAAAAATGAAGAAAATTAAACGATAGACCAGTACAAGAACATTTATTCAAAAGAAAATTAAAGAATGTCTAAGAAAAGAGCACTAAAGTGGTACAGAAGAACCGTTTTCTTTATTTAATAAGAAGAGAAATATAAAGTCTTTATCCCAGTCGTTTACACCTTCGATTTCGTCTATTTACAATTATGTACAGGATGATTCTTAATGAATTAACAGTCTATATAAGGAAGTAATCGGGTCCAACGAAAGAGCCGCATTTTGGAAAGTCCTGTGGAGCTGGTACCATGTCGCTGTTCTCTCCAACCTGAAGAATCACGTCCAAGCCACGAGTCCAATAAGCAGCGTGTTCATCTCGCAGCATCCAGTATCCTGAATAATTAAAAGAAATTAGAAATCCATGATCGAAGTTAATTATTTTCAATGATGAATTTACCTGGATTGTTGGCTTTGAACCGAATTGCAACGGCACCGAATTTCGGCACAACCACGGTATCTTTGGACACCGTGCAGTCGAGATTACGATTGAACAGTTGCCCTTTTTCATCCAGGCTCTTCAACTCGTGCAGAGACACGCTTCGACCGAATTTCCTAGCTCCTACCACGTAGAAACTGTATCCGTGCAGATGGTAGACCAAATCGTCGAGACCGCCTTAATGGGGGAGAAGAAATTTTTAGAAACAAAGTCCTTTCGAAGAATATTTCTCGCGAGAGAATTAAATTTTCACTTCTCGGGAAAAGAATTCTCAGAGAAACGAAATCAATGTTTCAGCCTCTGCAACTAACTCCAATGTAGACCAAGGTTTCTAATTCAAGGTCACGGTTTTAACGAATTTATCCTGTTTTTCTGCGAACGCTCGCTGAGTATTTTTCAACGGTACGTTATCAAAGTTTCCGGGATATCCTTCGGCAAATATAATCGAAATGTAGGTTAATTACGAGCGATGTTTATCCCGACGATTTCCATTTCTCGATGAATGGAAGTTCATCAGGGACGTTTGAATTGAATCGCGTTCTCTTTGACGTGCAGCGACGCGGAGCGTAGAGGAGCGTGCGGGAAATAGCGCGAACGTGTTTACCGCGATGTTAATTGGAAATCTAATTCCTCGTCCGTCACCAACGAGACCCTGAATTGTTACGAACCATCTACGAGGAAAACAAAGTCGGGGAATGAAGTTAATTTATTTTTCTGTGAAAATTCTGCTGGATGATTTTTCCTAGTTTTTTACCTTGATCGAATAAAATGATCTCGACAGTCGCGCCGAGAGGAACGTATCTCACGTGGACGCATTCGCACGTGTCCGGAACTATACCGTCGCCGCGTCGACAGCGTCGCGACGACAACGACGCGGTCTCGTTGTTCTCGTTACGAGAATCCTGGTCGTCGGGAGAACATAGACTTTCTTCGGAAACGTCAGCGCCTTGGGTCAACAAGGGCGACGATGGGTAGGTGAAAGTATCATTGTTCACGTTCAAGATCCTCGTCTCTGCTCCGCCATTGCCTGTAATTAAAAACAGAAAAATATCCTTGTGAATTAAGTATGTCTATTAATAGAAGGATTCGCGTTTTCCGCATGGTTGATTCTAAATTCCATCCTACATTTATCAATCTCTTACCCACGATATCGTTCGTCTGGAACTTGTAATTAATAGGCAGACGAATAATGACGTCGGTTCTCGGTTTAGCAAGAACGCTGGGTATCTTTCGCAACGCTTGTATCTCTGTCACGCACAGATTCTCCGGATTTTCACATTTTTCCGCGGGATTGGTCGTCATCGCCACTCGACTCGTCGCCTCCTCAACTTCCGGCTGATCGATCGCTTCCGACACGGATAATGGATTTTCCGTTGTGCTACCCTTGTACTTCAAAATCGCCGCCCCGTGTATAGGACTCGTTCCGCATTCCTTTGACGTGTGTACGTTCATCCAGTAAGAAGCGACGCGTTTGTTCGCTTTTAAAATAAAGTCTGCTCTTTCACCTGGGAAAGAAAATTCAATATTTTTGTTAACTAATTTAAATTTATTAGAAATCTATCGGTTAGACCGGGGATCATCAAAGTGGTCTATCATCTAATCTAGGTGGTCGATTTTCATTTCATTTCATTATGCATTACGCATACATTTTTTTTCTTTTTTAGGGGGTCAATAAGAGAATTAACAGATTTTTAGGGATCAATGATCAAACAGGTTTTGCGGCCCCTGAGTTAGACTGACCTTTGGCCAAAGTAATGGATGCAACTAGTCGCGGTTCCACTGGTTGCCCATCCAGGGCGATCAGCTGGAGAGGATGAGCGTCGACGGAAATGGTTATTGGACAAGATCCAGCTCCTCCGGCATTCGCGATACGAAATCTATGACGACGACCTGGAACGACCGTAAACGTTGAATACGGTACATTTGGTCCGTTCGGTTGTCGTCCTTTCCCATTGATTAGAAGGATCGCTGGTTTCGCGTTGCCTTCGGTGAATGTGATATCCGCGGAATGTTGCCACTGGCTCACAAGTACCACGTGATTCGAGTCGTCTATGTCGTAAAGAGATCTGTGCGGGTCTTTTATGTCCGCTTGTTTTACGATCAACGCGCCGAAAATTCCATTTGTAACGTCGGCCCCTGAAAATTCAATGAATTTCATTTCCGAAATTAGTGAAATTAGAGAAAATTAAGGCTGGACGATTGAAAATTCTTGTTTACCAGCGTGAGCATGCCAAAGATGAGTTCCAGCCACGGACGCGCGAAACTTGTACTGGAAAGTAGTGTAACTCGGTATCGGGCATTGAGTGACCAGGGGCGCACCGTCCATAAATGGCGATTCAAACTGCGACTGACCGCGCCAGTGCATTGCGGCCGCTTTACCCGGAAGCCGATTAATTACGTCCACCACTAAGATATCGTTTTCACAAACCTGCGAATGAAAAAACTTGGCTCTGAACGGTGTAATTACTTGGACACATCTTGGTCATTAGTGTAACCTGTTTCGTTTTCTAAAGTTGCATTATCTGAATGCACCTGATACGTTAAGCAGAAAATCACAGTGTATAAAACTGTCTACGTTAATTGTTAAACGTTAGATTGCAATTAGCAATCTCGCGAAGAGGATCCTTGGTATCTTAGAATTTTCGAAAATCTAATCCATTTAGAAACTCTTAGTCTCGTTGATGTTTCAGACTTTTAATTTCATCCCGATTACATTTTTCTAATGATACCTGTATAGTTGGACCAGGCAGTTGACGATTAGCCGTCAGGATACCCCGTCTCTGTCCATCCGCTGTTACACAATGATTATGAAGACACGCTGTCTCATTCACCGGGCAGTCACCGCATGACCTATACAGAGGGAAAATCATAAATGAATTAGAAGGATTACGAGCGAAGCGCGAGAACGTATTCACGTTACACGCGTATAAAATCGCACCATAGACGCGGACAGTCATTTCCGCATTTCGATGGGTCAAGAAATTGCATAACGGTTGTTGCAACCACTTGACCGATGATTCTCGATAGAAACATATAAATTACATCTTTACCAGCTGATGTAATAAATTATTTTAACTTACTTGCTAAGCGATTGAAACACTTCTAGGGTGAGTTTCAGTCGGCAAATCATAGGCCAATCCAGATGATGGCATGGTCTGTCGCAGGAGAGGAATATTTGTTCTGTAAAATGAAAAGTAAAATTACAATGTAAATAGAAACTGAATTTCGAGTCGACCAAAGATTCCGACGATTGATAACGTTTCTTATAGTCGGTGTTGCCTTGCAGTTGGCGAACTTACTCGGCCTGTAATTGTTAACATGCAAAAATGTCGCCGCAGCCGCGATCATAAAGACGACCACGAGAAATCGTAGACAGTAGGTGGATAAAGTCATGGTGTAGTGTGTGCTCTTCAAGGATCGCATTGTCTACCTTAATTGTTACGCAACGATAACAAACGGTGACCGCATTCTCCTAGCGATTTAGATTTCTCTCAGCGAACCTCAGAAAATCTCCAAAGCAACGTTCAGTTGCTCAGACCTCCGAGAGTCGTCGATTCTCGACTTCCCTCTAATTGTAAGTCACCAAATCGAAATGAAAGAAAAATCAGATTAGTCGTTGGTCAAAGGGCGTTTAAATTAGAAAGTGATTCGTGAATAATAAGAAAGCCTCGTGGGCGTCGAACGATGATGATAAGTCGATACGAGGCTGAAAAGTCTCGTGTCAGCGGGGTGAAAGTTAGTCCCGAGATGAAGAAAAAAAAAAAAGCGAAAGGAATAATCGTCGATTCGAGAAAAGATGAAAGTTACAGCTGTTTAACTTCGATCATCTTTATACACTGATAAGTATTATCTCTTTCTAGCTTTTAATTACAATACCCTCGTATCGAGTGGTCGATTTCGAAATGTAGAAAGTCTGGCACTTATGCGTGTCATCTTAAAGCTTAGAGTTTGACGTTTACTATTTAAAGTAATCGGCTTTCCTATTTCCTGCAACTTTTCAATTATAAATCTTTGTAAACGATGGAAAAATTTGATTTCACTTATTTCATAGGGGACAAGGACTATTCTGTATTCCTTAGTTAAAACACTCCCATGAAAAAAAGGCAATGTTTAACAGGATGGAAGTAGAGAAATTTCCAAGTAACTAGTTCCCTTCTTAACACAATAGTGATGTAATTTAACGAGTTTCCTTTGAAAGGATCTCGAACAGAAAAGCGTGATGTTGAATAACGTCCGAGGGTGATGCACGAAAATCATCTAATCGCGTTCTCGGTCTCGATCGATCTATCTCATTATAATTACGTAAAAACTTGTATAATCTTGTCGTAATATGCTGATAGCGTGATCGGTTCACGTGTCCGGTCCAGAATTATATTTACCGCTGAGGTAACAGTCATTTAGAGTAACTTTAATTAAACCCCTCGCACCAGTGATATCGCACCGTTCGCGGTGCAACGTGACACTTGGAGACACAGAGGAAACGAAACGGCACGCACGGATCATTTCGTAAGAATCTTACGGAAAGTGAAACCAACTGCGGAAAATCGAAAGGAAAAACTGGTGCGTCTCGAGAAACGTTATGGAGAGCTAAAACTGACTCTGAATTGGTGCATCGAAAAACTTTTGTACGTTGAAAAAGTTTCCACTCTAACGAAGAGCATTTTATTCCCGATTTGATGGACGCGAGGAAAATGAGTTAGAAGTTGAAGACAGATTGTTCTGGAAGAAAGAGTAAGAAAGTAAACGAAAGAAAGGATATGAAGCTTCGTGACGGTTGCATCACGTTCGTTCGAACCTGAACCGGGCGCACACGTAACTCGTGAACACCGTTGCGCTTTCTCGTGAACAACTGACCAGCCGAATTTCGTTTTCAGAAGCAAACCCGTCCTCTCTCCCTTTCCCTTTCTCTTGCTCCTTGTAAAGTGGAACGCGAGCGGTCATCTACGGTCGTTGTTAATTTGTTCGTGGAGAACGCGATCCAGCTAGAGAAAGAAATTGAGTTCAATTTCTGCGATTTTTAACCGCAGTTGTTGAATGATTTCATTTATACGTTCGTCTACGATGAAGAATCTCGCTTTCATTGAGAAAAGATGAAAGATTTTCACCGAGTTTTCCCGGAAAATTCGAACCGCGTGAAGCGTTTCAATTAAAACTTGCATAATATTCTTTCCTCGCTGGTGAACAGAGAAAAAGAATTCAAGCCGAGGCAACGAACAACACTCGTTCATTTATGGAAGTCAGAGAAGAAACTCGGATCCTTGTTGAACAACACTCGGATTCCTTAAAGCGAGTAATCGACGTCCGTGTTTCCCGGGGTTTAATCGATAGCTCGTTAATCACCGCGATGGAATTGCGGATATGTAGGAAGAAATGTATTCAACCGGATTTTCCATTCGTGGAACAACTATTCCAAATCTGGACACCTTGAATACCACGCGTGTACATCTTCATTCTCAGTGAACCGAATCATTGATTAAAATGATAAATCATCGAAATACAGATGACACGACACTCAAAGTGTTTAAACATCCAAGCGTTGGGTAAATATTCTCTCTCTCGAAATTCAAACGATGGTCGTTTTAAGATCGATGAAAGGAAGGCAATGAGAGGCATAAAATGAGAAGAGAGAAAAAAAAGAGAAATCAATAAATTTCACTACACCGATGGGTAATGGTGCACATGTACACAGAGCGATTAGAGGCAAAGCACTGTCTCGCGGTTCCCGTTAACGACTGACAGATAGTTTTAGCCGAAATTTCGTTGTCAGAACTGGTGGTAACCTCTTCCCTCTCTATCAGATCCACCCTCCCTCTCGATATCTCTCTCTTTCACCGTTGCATTTCGCGCAACTTCCGTTTTTCATTTTCTTTTCATCTCCTCTGGAACCGCGAGGACGACCGGTTTCCGGCGGCAGTCGTCGATCGTCGTGGCATCGGTTCCCAGAAGGTATCGTGGCCATTTCGATCGAAATATGTGTCAGCGACGGCGAAATTGCTAGTGAAAGTTGCCTACAGGGCTCGCGGAGACAACAGACTCTCCAGGCTCGTGTGTATCTTGGGATTCTGGTGCCTTCGCGCCTCGCGTAACACTGCACGCACAAGCTTTCATCTTTCGTTAGCCGTCTCCTTTCCTACCGTTTTACCTCGATATTTCTTACTCGCGTCGCTACCTCGACGAAGGCGGAGGTGCGAGAAGATTTCGCTTTCACTGATGCTCAAACGGGAGATCAACGTGTTCGGGCCCGTTTGTTTTCTCTGCTTGGAGAACGCGTGCCGTTCCTTCGAACCGCGTATTTCGACCGATCGAACTTCGTGACGCTTTCTACCTGCATGTTACGAAGGCTCGTTTAACGCGTTGACCTTTGTAGTGAAAATAAACGGCCTGAAGTAAGAGAATCGCCATCGATCCGAACCTAATGCTATAGAATTCTGAAAGGAAATACTTGTTATAGAAAATTTGTAAATTCAATCGGATTTTCCATTCGTGGAACAACTATTCCAAGTATCGACACCTTGAATACCGCGCGTGAACGTCTTCATTCTCAGTGAACAGAATCTGTGAAAATTTCTCATAATTGATTAAAATGATAAATCATCGAAATATAAATGACACGACACTCGAAGTGTTTGAATTTTCTAACATATTATTAGTCTAATTACAGTCAGTCGTCGCTGACAGCAATAGTATCCACTGTCGCAGAAGTGACAGCGGTGAATGTTGAATAATTTCAAGTAGAAACTTGGAAATGTAAATCATATCCTCGTTGAACGCACATACTTATTTTCACCGCGATAGTCCAATTATTACCCAGTTTACGAACTTGGTAATTAGTACTCGCGTGAATAATCTACGCTACGATTCGATGCTTTCTGCTCGGATGCACGATATTTATGTTCTTTACTTTATAAACTGGCTAGTTTAGATCATTTGAGAAAAGAGAATTTTTGCAGTTGTAAATTAACATAATTTCATTTCGATAAAAACTTCTATATCTGCGGTCCGAGGTAGTAAAATTCAAGGAAGATAGTAGATTTACAAGGATTCTCGATATTAGCAGCATTTCGCAATCTGGAAACTCGGGAAACTCGATCAGGAGCTGCTTATACCGCAGAAATTTCTTTTCGTTCTATCAAGTGTTCAATTTCAACCCGCTAGAAAGCCGATCAATGAAATATAAAACTATCCAACAGGTTTGTTCGCCGTGTTTACGGTTATTAGATTTCACCGAGTCGATTTACGTCCATATAATTAATTCCCATCGAATAAAAGTAGTACGGCTCTAGTTAAAATAAGTCGACAGAGGAGAAAAAGAAAAAAACACAAGAAGACATTAGCGCGTGTTCGAATTTCAACATTTTGTCGCTTTCACATTTGCGTGGAGGGGTGGTTCATACTTTTTCTTCCCCAAACTTCTTTCACCTGCAAGAATCTTTGATTCCACCGGCGTATCGAATGTGATTTCGGCAGAAAAAAAATAAATAAATGACCGAGTCGTAAATTCGAATGCATATCCGATACTTTCTTTTTCATCGAATTACGCAATTAATTACTTTCCTTTACGCCACCGAGAACTGGTTTTGTTTCTACTCGGTTCATTACTATTCTCACCTCTCTAATTGTTCTCGGAGAAACTTCTTCGTTCTTGAGACTCTCTTAAACAAACAGGAAGCAGGATCTTTCGGGTATCTTCTTGAAAATGTTAGACGATCAACAAAGTTACAGTCGAACAACCTTAGAGGTTCGTTAAGTTTTTACAAGATGCTGAGTGTTGTTATTCGAGAGAGAAAGTGAACTGTTACAAGATCGCGATTTCACGGTATCGAGGATGAAAGAAGGCGTTCGGAGGGGTGCAACAATTAATAAGCCCGAAATCGAGGCTGATGGCAGAAGCGAGGAGGCGCCTTCAAAAGCGGAAGAAAGCGTGGTCGCGTTGTTTCTATGCACGGATAGTACAATATGCCACGCTTTCACGTACAACTTTCGTCCAGAAGTAAATATTTCGATAAAGACAGCTGTATTCATAGTGGTACTCCTTTGAACAGAGACGGTGGTAAAAAAGAAGACGTTCGAATAGGAAATCTTAAGGATTTCATGCGCAAAGGAATTTGCTAGACTCGGAGATTGATTTCTCTGTAACTTCTGAATGGAATGAAAAATGATCACCAGTTGGATGAATAGAAGGATATGATACCAGTTAAATCGCATCTGGTGTGTATAACGGTTGTTGCAGTTTCAGTGATGATAATAACATTACTTTCCAACATAAAAAGCGCAATCTTCGAAGCCATTCACCTCCTCATGTAAAATATGCAACTTGAAATCAAGAGGTTCTTTCTAAACAAATATCAATCGAGGATATTTTTAGTAATGATTAAAAGGTTCCAAAAATTTATTTTAAAATATGAAAGCACTTCTTCATTCACGTCAGATGGAAATGTCACAGGGGCACCGGTGAGCTGGTTGCATCAATATTAAGTTTAAATTGAAAATGAAATAATTATAATGTGTCATACTACGTGTGTCCATTTTCACTGTCAATCGTGTCAATCAATTAAAAACATTTCACGATCGCGTTTAGAATAACGTAAGTTGAATTTTCAAATGAATTAGTAAGGGATTGAACTAACCTGGTATGGGTGTCAGATAAATAATGGTCGCGACGACGGAAGTCAAACCGACGAATATCGCAAACCGGAAGAACATTGCTGGAAGGTCGGTGTAGATTTCGTGGTCCCAGCGATTACGTTTGGCAGGTTTTACAGCAGAAACGAAAGGATCTGGAGGCCGAACTGGCCGGTTTCGTGGCCGTGGGTACACTAGCGCGATAGCAGTAAGTTCATTGCCAGGGAGAGAGTTGTTTCTCGATTAAAAGAAAGATCTTTCAACTGCGGAAACGCTCGCTTGCTTGCTTGCTTATGCGACTTCGAGCCGAAACTAAACACGTTTCCGTGTTGTTTTCGGGATAATTGTCCACTTTTACCCAATTGTACGTAGAAGCTGATTAGGTACAGACAGCTATGGCTTTTTCAACCTTTTGTTTAAGTCATTGTTGCAATTCCATTTGAAAACAAAAGCATATAGCTTTTTTTTTAATTAGCGATCAAGAATGAGGATTAATTTATTTATGAAAGTAAGGGTAGGTTTGGCTTTTAAGAGAAAAAAATTTCTGGATGGTTATTAATTAACAGATTACTGCTAAAAATTCATCAATCGTTAATTAGGAAATAGACTGCCAGTTTAAATTAATTCTCGCTGAAAGGGGTAAAATAAATTAATTGTAGTATTCAATGATATGCAATTATTCACATCATAATAACTTACATCATATTCAATTGGAATTTGTTGTAATGGAGAAGTGATTTATTGCAGTAGACAGTCATAATAGATTAGTGTAAGAAACTTATTAATTAAAATGTCCAATTGATTGATTATTCTAAGTCATCTTTGGTCATCATAGGCTGCACAGTATGTCAGCACTCTAATGCATCATTTTATACAGTATATTCAACAAGAAATTAAAATTTATTGATAAATAAAATTTTAATAAAAAGAATTATATGTTACTAAAGTAAAATATACATATTCTCTGATGAAAAAACATAATTGAACAATAATTACTTTTCAGATTCACGGAAGATTATCACACGTGATAACACTTCTAAGGTTAGAATATAGTATATTAGAAAAGAAAACTCAATATGAATGAAGTTCTGGATGAAAACTTCGAAGAGTTTTATCCTGAATTAGAGAAACTTATAAACAATGCATCCTTTATTGCTATCGATACGGAATTAACGGGTATAAGCACGGATAATGATGTGAAATATAGGTTAGTTTCGTTTAAGAATTCGATATAAATGTGACTGCATTATTCACTATTTATACTGTTTTATTTCAGTCTTTTTGATTCTTTGGACGTGCGCTACAAGAAATTGAAGAACACCATTGAAAACTTTTCAATAATTCAATTTGGCATCTCAGTGTTTCATCATGTCCCTGACATAAATTTTTATGATGCACAGTGTTTCAATTTTTATTTACTACCACGAGCTTTGCCACTCACAAACAACCAAATCACCTGGCAAGTGGGTGCATTAGAGTTCTTGTCCAAGCACAATTTTGATTTCAATAAGGTATATCAGCATTGTGTTACTGATAAAATTAATGAAGCAAGATGAAATGTTACACGTACAATGATTTTTTAGCTTGTGAATCATGCTATTCCATATCTCAATGAGTCGGATGAAAAGAATTTCAAACAATACATAGAGAAGAGTAGTTCATTAGATAAATTAAAGCATCTGTCGTATGAAGATGAAACTAATTTCAGAGAATGTATCAGTAAAACTACCGATTGGATTTATAATGATGTACATCAAACTTCTTTTGAATTGGAAGTTGAGGATCCTATTGTACAGTATTTAATCCGAAAAAGATTAAATGATTATGATAACATTAGAACAACATCTGGGTATAAAAGAGTACGTATACTATAATGTATAAGAGTATGTATATCATTCATTGCTTATACTTTGATGCAGTTGATGAATATACATAAAGTTGTTTAAATATTTTTAGATAATTGTTGAAAGGATATCATCAAAGAACACATGTGATGTTTCAGAAAAGGAAGATAGTAACTGCTTGGAACAAGCACTGTTAGATTCATATGTAGGCTTTTCTAAAGTGTTCAAACTATTGTGTTCCTCAAAGAAACCAATAATTGGTCATAATGTACTTTTTGATTTAATGTTCACCTATCAACAGTTCTACAAACCATTGCCAGGTACAAAGTAAATATTATAAAATATAGTTTTTTAAATATGAATAACTAAAACTTATACAATTTTCTACAGACTCTTATACTGAATTCAAAAGTAACGTACACTCGTTATTTCCACAAATATATGACACAAAGTTCATAAGTACCGAATTGCGGAGACTGTATATAAAAGAAGGTAAAGGAAACTTCAAAAAAAAAAAGATCGTTCGTTGCAATTGATATATATATATCACAATAAATTTTTCTTTCAAGTCAACTGGAAACTGAGTTCGTTAGATGCTGTATACGAGTTTTTTACCTTAAAACAGGGAAAGTATCTAACGTTAAACTCACCAACTGTGAATTTAAGGCTTAAATCTTTAGGTAATCATTTTTGTTTTCATTGAATAATTTAAATATCATTTTAATAATATTCATGTATTCTTTCTTTTTCAATAATTTTCAGACGAAAAATATTATCACCATGCAGGATGGGATGCTTACTTCGCCGGTTACATATTTATAAAATTGGGTCACGTGTTTGGTGTGAAAATATATGGAAGGTTGTGTTCATATATATAATTAACGTACCACGATCTAAGAAACTAATTCATCGAATAATTAAGTCTTAATCGTTTCAGCGGTTTAGAAGAAAGACCGATAACGCATTCGGAGTTGATGAGCAGCGTGAAGAATTATGTAAATTCCGTAAACGTGTCGAGAAGCAATGAAATGTGTATGGTAAATGAAAATTACATACTTTAAGTTTGATTTTGTTTCAAATTAACGCTTCGAGTTAATTGTGAACGTTTCAGAAACTGGACGGAGACGATCCACTGTACTCGAAACCAGAGTGGCTTCACGTGAAATTAAAATCAGCATCGATCGATACGAAACAGGTAGATTCCAGCACGAAATTATACCTCGAAATGTTAATCTTTTCTCTTTAGCTGCAATTTCTTGCCAGCTGGTCGAGAGACTCTCATCGTTTGGCCAAGTGGATATAATGCCATTCGCACGGAAACGTGTTCTGGTAGCTGTATCGAATCAGAAGAGGTAAATGAAATTTTCACCTTAACTCTTATCGTTTCGTCGTGTCTCTGAGGTTGACAAATACCTATTGAACTTATTCGATATTACGGAACTTGCAGAAACTCGATCGCTTCGTTGAACAACTCCGCAAGTGATAACAAATGTACGCAAATACTTCAAAGACACCATAGTTCGTTCATTTCGAGTAAAATAAATTTAAACTCTATCGAGAACAAATATGCCCGGTGTTGGCCGTCATACTGACACGAAACACTCTCGCTGAAATCCGTATATTTCATACTGCACATCACAGTATTCGGGTTAACAAAACAATGAAGCGAGATTAAAGGGAGACCAGCGGATACGGTAAATCTCTGGTTGATTTTTAAACAAGCTCGAAATCCATCGCGACAATCTCGTGCGTATATATAAAATGCGAAATCAAAACGGTTCACTTTGTTTCCCCTGTTATAATCTTACCTTACGCATCGAGCAAGTATAATTAGGTATTAAGTACGCAGTTGGTATTTTAGTATGAAGCTGCTTCGAAGTAAGGTGCCGGAACTATTTTGGATCTTATCCAAGGGCAACCGCGTATACTCATCATTGCAGTTACAAAATGTAATATCGATGCACGTGATTTTGTACGTGCCACGTAACCGTTGGCATTTTCATTTTGACCAAAATTTATTCCTCTCCACTTATAGGGATATTGTTCTGATTAATTATTGAACGTATTCTATTGTACTTTGTGTTTCATTTTAATTATTCATGTGAAGTGTGAAGGGTTTAAACGCGTCTCTAAGGATATCTATAAAATTTGAAATTTCAAAAAGAATTCTAACATTAGTTTCTTACCCTTGATTTTATATTAATTTTCATTCTAAAATCCTCGTTCCAGTAGTCGGTATATTGATTCAAAACGAGATCGAATAAGTGTGCGAGATTTTTTTTTTGACGGACCGTAACGAGACCAATATAGCATTACCAGGAATCAGATTAATTATAATCGTACGTCTTGACAGTGGAGGATCAGCAAGAAAACTATAAATATCGACGGAAAAGGTGAACGACCTGAGATCCCGTGAAAATTATTCAGACTGCTAATGGCCTTGCATCAATGTTCTCAACGCGCGTTAAGTTTTTACTGCCTATCTCGAAAGCTCTATATTTCCCGGATACTTAGAGATTCTTTGACGAGCTATGAATCACATAGAAAATTAATGGTGTATCGACGGGTATAAAAACGTTAACGAGCAAGCGACCCTCGCGTTTCGTTTATTTCACCGGAACGATTCAGACGAACAATCGGTCGCGTTTTCTTAATTCAGACAGGTTGGAATCACAAACCTCGGTTTCAGTATCGGTTTCGCGCGGATCCATTAGAATCCGTTTATCTTTCGTTCGACGAGCTGTCGAAGCAATGAGCACTTACATAAGAACTATCCGACCGGTTAGATCGTTGCATCTGTCCGGCTCGAAACCGTAAATTTCGTCGCGTTCTGGCATTTATCGTTCCATTAACTACTTAACAACTATCTCGTCGAGAAATCGTTGAGAACAATAATTTATAGCGTTGGGTACAGCTAGGTGTTAAAATTGCTTTTACGAAAATAAGCGGAGTGTTCAAATTTTTCAATTGAAATACTTACGCTATTTTATAATAATAAAAAGAATGATGTTGATACTGATGATCGTTCGATAAGAGCGCGTTGAAACGATAGATTTCGCGTTAGGAATACAAACGGAAGCATTCAACCCGCGATTTTGTTCAGGCTGATCGCGAAGGGTAAGCAAATCAGCTGACTTCATCGTTCCTGAATTAGATCGAAATGAATTATCCGGTGGCGGGCTGCTATCAAGTATACATTTTCACGAGCGTGATGCATTTTCTTTCGAACCGTCCAGCATTTTCACTCGCGGCTTAACCAACCTGCTCGTACGTTATACGCGTCAGATTTTCTTCTTTGCCTGGCGTTCTTCCAAAGCTTGCGTGTATCGGTTTCTACCAGCGAATAAACTGTTCTATCGACGCGTGGATCGAATCGTTCGAATTCATCCGATCAATTAACGCATTATTCGCGAGCCGCGTAATTAACTATATCTTTCGATCTACGTGGTTAATTAACCGATTCTCGATTACTCGTGAAAATCATCCTTTCTCCGGCATCGAGGAATTTGTGTCAGGAAAATTGTGTGTTCCCTGTTTAAAAAATTCAATTAAACGATTGGAAATATGATAAAATAAGACTTTGTGTTATTGGGTTACGTGCATACAGTGTGAAACGTTTTTTTAGTTGAACATTAACGTAGCCAAACGGTTAAGCATCGATGTAAACCAGCCTCTATTGCACGCCGTGATCGATACGAAATTATTTTTACCCATGTATATTATTAATGCGTTATAAATCGTGATCGCTTGAAAAATTCTGTTGCAGCGCGATGCGCATACTTCACCACTTTCAGAGCAGCAAGGAATTCCAAGTGGCACGCTACAATCGTATTAAGCACGCAGCTCCTAGCACAATCTGCTTGTGGTACGTACCTGAATACTTTCTTATTTTCGACTTTCTCGTCGTACAGTTTCATTTTATTTCACGCAATGCCAAGGCTGATTTAAGTAAACGGGTTAAGTTTATTTTCATTTCACTGCAGCCCCGACGAGTCAATTAATTCGTTCGATTAAATAGAAAGGAACGCGAAGGGGGAGTAGTTACAGATTATTTTGCTATTCTAAAAAAGAATGATTTAAACGCTACGAATAGCCCATTAATTTCATCCAAAGAATAATAACGGATAACCATCCGATTCCCAAGAATCCTTTACGACCAACCTCTTAGATGATTCAACGATTCGTCACATTTATCACCGATTAATTTACAGCTTCACAGTCCGATCCAAAAATTCCTCGAACCGTCCCGCTGCAATTAATTAACCGAGACGTAGAGAAAAAGCGGTAATTTGGCCTCGAACGTGGTATTTGCCATCGTTCATTGGCCACCGTTCTGGCTACCATTTTCGGAAACGATGCGTTTGCACTAATTCGGCGAGGTTTTCTGCACCGTGGCGGTGAGAAAATCTCGATGGAAATTCAGGCCGGCCGGATAGCCGAGTCCTAATTCGCGATTCGTGTTAACCGGCCATGATTCGCCGCGTTACGTCAAACAAATTAATGGCCCTTCTTAACTTGTCCCCGCAAATTCTCTAATTAGCACGAACATTGCCGTAGATGCATAAGTGTGCGAACACGTTGCCAATTGTTGCGAAGGCAGCGACACCCATTGCGTTACCCAACGCTCTCCACCACGGAATCCTCAAAGTCGCTCCCGATTTTCGATTTGCTTCGACGTCCATTGAATACCTTGCGAAATATCCTTCTTACATAATTTCAGTCAAAATCTGTCTGTCCTCTACGATTGTCGATGTTGCGGGTAATCATCGAGGTTTAATTGCTTTTAATTACAGGAGCGGGATCATCTTGTCCGGGGGTTTGTTTGCCTGGATCATCAAACAGACGCTTCTACGTTCAACATGATTTTTAAAATTTTCAGAAATCGTGTCTCGTCGAAGCTGTATAAAATAAAAAGAAAAAAATGTAACTACTAGAAATCTTATCCCGGCATATCCTTCGCTGACGCCAAGGCAAGTCGAAGATAACGAAACGTATCGTTACACAGTCGCGTTTACCTCGATTTTGTTTTATTCGATTGTGCGTAAAGAGGGTAAAAAAAGAAGCAAAGGTGAGAAAGTAAAACAAACGTAGCGGTCGATTTCGGTGGAAGATCAGACCGAGAGGATCGTCTCTGTTCTCTCGCATCGAGAAGACCAGTCGCAGAATCTATTTAAATATTAGATCGAAATCAAGAGCGGAATCTTTGCGCGAGCTGTTATTATTATTTCTCGTTCTCGCGGCGGACATTTCGGGCCTCGTTTCGTCGAGGAAGCTTTCCACGCTGCCAAAGTACCATGCTCTTTGAAAAATCCAATTATCCCTGCCGCCTCGCGACCCGTCGATCGCCGACGCGTTTCGCTTTTTGTCCATCGCGTCACGATCGTTTCGTGCCAAATAAAACGGAGACCGTTGAAATTTCCTTGGAAAGCTTTCTTACCGGTGCCTCGCGCGTTTCCTATCTCGACGACTGATTCGTTGATCACCCATGAGATTAAGCAAGATCTTCCGACATCATTTTATTACAAACAAAGTCTACCAGCTGACGCCCGAAGCTTTCCAATTCAAAAGCGAAGGATTAACGAACACTAAAACGAAATTGCTTTTACGGATTCTCGGTAATACCATCATCCTATCGTCAACCGAACCGAAGGAAACATGCGACTCGAGGGTGTCTCTTAAATTTCCTCGTAATCTTGGCAGACAGTCCGACGATCCCCGATACTCTCGACGAAACAAGCGACGCTAATTCATCGGCTAATGATTTACAACAAGAGGGAGAACAGTATTTGGATGAAATACAGATACAAAGTTGCAGAATTTCAAAATAAGATTCAATGAGAAAATGATGAATGAAAAATGCAACGAAAATTCGATGAGAAATGACGAGAAGAAGATGTAGCCGCCGAGTGAGTGCACCTTACTCGCTGCTGGTCCGTACTTATCTCGAAGTCCTGATGGCCGAGGAAGAGGCCAAGCGTTCCCCGATATTTCAAAAGTTTTCTCTGGCCGCCACCCAAGGCTAAAAGACTCGAAATAACGCAGTAGCAATTCGTGTGGGCGTGCTGCCGGACGGTCAGCCTGGTCACACTGGTGTCCGGTGGCAGGTGGAGCAGCTTTCGAGATGGATCCCTCTCTGTCTTCTCTCGGCTTGTCCAAACGGCCGACAGATGCAAAGGTCGCGCTACAAACTAGGTCTATGGAACTGGGTTAACCAAATTTCAAATTGTCTTTTAAATCGCCAGCTCATCCGAGCGATTCTTTGTCAAAAATCAACTGATCCCATCGCTGATGATCCTCTTTCTCATCCGATAGAAACGTATCAGAATTTATCGAAACGTTAGAAATATGATAGAAAAGAAATAATTCTGATTGCCTTCACCTATTGGCATCTCGACGGGCAAGCGAGCGAAGACGATTGAAAATATCTCCTCGGGATTCTCGGGTTAGTTTCGAAACCCGTTCACCGAAGAATTGTAGTATCCCACGGCGGGGCCAGGCTGCTGGCATGGGCTAGCACCTGTCGCGCGTCGCCGACAGTGGAAATAGCTGTTTTCAACTAGCAGAAACCTGCCTAGCGCGCCTTGCTACTCGCTGACAGAGAGTAACGCGCTTACGTGGGTGCAGCGAGATTAATTGCCTGCACCAATTACTGAAATAATGGTAAACCGTGCTCGAAGCAGGATAATTAAGTCACCGTTGCGACAGACATTTTTTGGAATCCTTGATACCTTGATGAGCAGTCATTGGGCTTGGATAAGGGAATGGGGATACGTTTATCCAAGGATGGATGGGGAACTGTAATTAGAAATGATCCCTAAAGATGGATAACGTAGCGAGGTTAAAGAGCTTCCGCCAGGGTATGACGGAAGTATGGAAATCGTCTTTCTCTGGCAGAGGGGTACGAGAAGTCCCAGCGAATCTCTCGTTCGAAAGCTCTCTAGGACTATTTTTGTTCATAAGCTGAATAGCGGAAATAGCCTAGCCTAGCCCCTGGCCTAGAGCGTAGGCTTGACCGGCCATAATAGCCTCTCTTTCAAGGATATACCGTGACGTCAACATTTCTTTGAAAAATAAAATGCAACGTCATCGGTCGCCACCCAAGTGACGTTTACTGTCGAACGTTGACACTTTAGACTTTGGACCGATCGGTGCGTGGAAATTTGATTTTTTCATTCGAGAAAAACAACCGATCGAAAATTCACGTTCGAGATTCATTCGGGCAAGATTATTTTATCGAGCAGACACAGAGATGTATGGTATTCAATGTGTACCGATTATAAACGGTGTATTATTTAGATCAGAATTTCGGATTTTTTTTGTTTTTCACTCAGGAAAGTACACGAAGATGATTTGTTGTTTTATATCAACGTTGAATTATATACAGCTCCGAGTACATTCGTCTTGTCCAAACAAATCTTCTTCTGTTTATTACAGCGGATACTCTTTATGAGGCTATCTGAAATGTGTATAAAAATTTCTTTTAAAAAATATGATATCGTTTCGGGTGACTGCAGAATTTGAAACCATCTTCATTATTCGTCTTCTTGAATTTAATATAATTGAAAGAAATGATTAAAATGTAGAAGATTGATTTGCCATGAATGTAATTGTTTCAGAGTTGAAATATTTATTTCTTATTAGGGTATTGATGAGTCACTGTACGATTACGCGGTTTTCAATAGTTGCCCCGATAATCCGTGCACCCTTGACGCCGGGGCAGCACGCTGGTGCTGCACGCTCGCCAAATCCGACCTCGTCGTATCCTTGCGACTATTTTCGCGTAACGCATTTCAACATGATAGATGAGAGTTTTCTGCGTTTCCTCGACGTCGCGTAGCTCGAAACCTGCCAAAGATTCTGGTGGCAGAGAACATCGAATAATTTAGAACCGTGGACAATACCTGTCGTTTGCTCGAACACGACGCGATTCAATCGCGAACGCTTCGGATCTATCTTAAACGTTTGCCAGCGCAGGCAGGGTGGATTTCTAGATGGTCTGAGGTCGTTTCAAGCATCGCTGGTAGACGAGCGTCGATAAGAAGCCCGGAAACGTGGGGTTAAAGTGGCGAGATAGGTTTGATAAGAACGAAACACGGTTTCTGCATTCGGCACGTGTTTGATCGCAGACGAATTCTTCCTTGCTGTAAAAATAGACCCGTTTTCGAGAGGTATAAACACGTGTAATGAGAGAGGCCACGGGAGACCCCGCCGTGAACCACCTATTTTCTTTCTCCATTTTCTTTCTTTATTTTCTTTCTGCTTTTCTGTTTAACTTTTCTGCTACCATCCGATTCGCTCTACGTTTAGCTGATTTTTCTTTATCGTTTGAAATGATAAAAATATAGAGTGCAGTTTGGGGAAAAAATACAGGATATGACGTAGAAGGAAGTAGTAATTCTTGAAACTCTTCTCGTTTCAAATATAGGATGTTTCTTCAGTCCCAATGACCGACTCCTCGCCAACCCTGATTACGTTGGTTCCGTTAGTTTCTTCGCTTCTTCCATTTTCCTTTCTTCGTATTTTATGTTAGAGTTCATTTTTTAATTCAACATTATAAATTACCTGGTTTAGACAGTTGGATCTTGTAAGAAATTCCTTGGTAACTTTCATGTATGCAAGAACGAGCCTTTTTTCCGAATAAAACAAGTCATCTGCCTGGGACTTTCTCTTCATAACGAAGTCTTGTATCAATAAAAGATCCTTAAAAGTCTCCTTAAAATAGCACACTGAATTAGC